GATCACGTCGAGGGAGAAAGTCACAATCAAGAGGGACCAGCAGGACACCAAACCATCCCCGCCTCCCCCAAATACTAAAGTGGAATGGGGCTGGCACTTAACGAAGACTGACAGGGGGGTCACGGTGTGGATTTATACAGGTGCAGTGCCCAACTGTCATAGATGCATTTTATGATGAAATCATTTTAGAAATTAAAAATTATGGAGACCAGAACTCAGCTGGGGGCGCTGGGGGCTCACACCTATAATCCTAGCTACCGGGGGGGGGCGAGGGGGGGCTGAGATCTAAGGATTGCAGTTCAAAGCCAGCCCCGGCAGGAAAGTCAGTGAGACTGTCATCCAAGCTCAAGCCCCAGCATCCGCACACACAGAAAACAGACCTCTGCCCTCCCTGGCTGACCTGACCCGGACACAGAGTAAGGGGCTGCGGTAAGCGGGGTGACCCCTGCCTACAGTGACCGAGCTCCCCCAGCTGCTTGCTGGCCAGCTGCCCCCAGCTCCCTGGCCCCAGAGAAGAGGAGGCCTGGCACCCCCAGAAACACCAAACTCAAGAAGCAGAAGTCAGCTGGGCACCGGGGGCTCACACCTGTCATCCTAGCTACTCAAGAAACTGAGATCTGAGAATTGTGGTTCAAAGCCAGCCCCGGCAGGAAAGTCTGTGAGACTTATTTCCAATAAACCACTAGAAAAGTAGAAGTGGCGCTGTGGCTCAAGCGGTAGAGCATTCGCTTTGAGCTGAAGAGCTGAGGAACAGCCCCCAAGCCGAGTTCAGGCCCCACAACCGAAAAAAAACAAAAAAGCAGAAGTCTTTTCGCAGGAAGGGCATGACTACACAGTTAACTCAACATTTATTTAAAAAAAAAAAAAAAGTAAAGTGCATCTTAAAAAAATATAAAACCCAGATGGAGGGCTCTGGGGCGGGCAGTGTCGGTCGGTATCCCTTACAGTGGAGACAGGGGAGGGGTGATGGGCAGAAGGAGAGGTGCGGCTGGGGTGTCCGGGTGGGGAGATGGGGGGAAGGGGACACGGGCTCCCAGGGGTCCCTGGGGGCAAGTGTTCATGTCACGAACTCCTCCAGGCTCTGCTCTGCCCTCGCGTGGCCACGGCCTGATACAGGCTGGAAAGGTCCTGGGCGGCGAGGCTCTTGGGCCTCTCTCTGGTCCCTGAGGTGCTGGGGAGAGCCGGCCGGGCCCTGGCGCCTTGCAGGCCGGCTGTCCCGGCCCTGGCCGGGTGCGGGGGGCACCGGGTAAGGCGGGAGGCGGAAGAGGCCGGGTGGGTGGTGTGGGCCGGGGCGCCCTGTTGGGCCAGGGCGCTGAGCAGCTGGTGCTCCTGCTCGGGCTTCACATTTTCCGCTCTTCAGATGTAGGGCTCAGTTTCCTTAGGGAGCAGCAGCGTCCCGGCCCCGTCTCCGGCCAGGACAGCAGGGCCGTGGCAAGGGGCCCTCGCTGCAGGGCTGAAGCCCGGGGCACCATGGGGAGCCCCCGAGGAATGGGGTCCAGCTGGCCCCTCCGTGCGTCCAGGGCCCCTGAAGCCGGCTCACACCACCGAGTCGCGGATCTCGGAGCCCAGGCGGACGCGGGGCCGGGGACACACGGGGGACACCTCCACGAAGCTGTCCTGCACGCTCAGGGGCCTTTTCTCTGACTCGAGGGGGCCCCGGGGCCCGGGGGTGCTGTCCCACAGCGCCTGGTAGCCCCGGTGGTCCGGAGGGAGGCTGGGGGGGCCGACACCGTTGAGCGGCCGGGTCTCGGGGGGCAGCGCCGCAGGGTGGCTCTTGGGGTGCACGCTGGCACACTCCCCCTGCTTCAGGAAGGCTTTCATGCCGCCCCGGTACCGGTGGAGGAAGAAGAGCACCAGGAGCACCACGGCCAGCCCGAAGAGCGCGCACATGACCAGGAACTCTGTCCAGTAGGACCTGGCCGCGCCCCAGCCCGCCGCGTCCACGGCCGGCGCGCTCACGCGGGACGTGCTGATCACCACGGGCTCCCTGCCGCCCGGCCCCGCGCCCCCGTGCTCTGGCACCTCGGGGCAGTAGCTGGCCACCAGCTGCCGGACGCCCCCCTCCAGGGCCCAGCACTGGAACGTGCCCAGCCCCTGCTCGCCGCCCACCAGCAGCAGGGCCCCGCTGGGCAGCACGCGGCACGAGCCGCAGGTGTCCACCGGAGCCCCGTTGTGCAACCACAGGCGGGTGGCCAGGTTGGAGAGGAGCGGGCAGCCCAGGGTGTTCACCGTGTTGGGCTGGACCTGAACCCGTGTGCATGGCTTGCCTGTGGATGGCAGAGGCAGAGGGCAGAGTGAGGCTGGGGTCCGGGTTGGTCCTGGCTCACCCCCATCCCTCAGTGGCACCCCTGGTCCTCTATGGGCCCGGGACTGTCCCAAGCCTTGCTCTCTAGAGACTTGCTTGCAGAGGGAGGGGGAGACGGTCAGGGAGGACCATTAGGCCCACCGGGGCCTGCAAGGGGTCGTGTGCCCAGCCCGCGCCCGGCCCCCTCACCTGCTGTGCCGAAAGACCTTGGCCTGGCTACGGAAACGTTGCACAGCTCCTTGGCGTTGGTCCCCTCGATGTCCTGGACCCAGGGCCTGAGGACCAGAGAGTGTGGGTAGGCCAGGGGTGCCATGGGCTGCGTCCCTCCCACCTCCACAAGAGCCGGACCGGGGCAAGGGGCCTGAGGCGCAGGTTGCTCCAGGCCTCGGTAGTGGGTAGGCGGGAGATGGAGAAGACATCTCTCAGCTGAAGAACGTCACCCGCTGCTACTGCAGCCAACTGCCAAACGGCTCCCAACCGTCATCACCACATGCACAAGGTCCTCAGATAAAGTCCAGAACAACTGGGTCTGTCGCCATCTGAGTAACTCCATACAAAAAGACCCTCCTACTTTTTGCTTCCCATTGTATCTGGGATGGCAGGTGCACGCCCCGTGCCTAGATTCTGTTGAGATGGGAGTCTCATGAACTCTCCTGCCTGGGCTGGGCTGGAGCCATGATCCTCCCAATCATGGCCTCCCTCCCAAATAGCTGGGGTGACAGGCACGTGCCACAATGCCCGGCAAGAGAGAGGAATTCTCAATGCACTCAGAAAATGGAAAGCTTCGCCAAGCACAAAGAACCTGAACCAACAGCCTTGTTGCGTCTGTGGGTGGCGGCCACGGCCATTTTGATCTGTCTGCAGACTCCTGCTTGGTCTTTCTGAAGCAGCCAGGAGTGTGTTAGGTAGGGTCTCGTGTTTTTGCTCAGACTGAGGCTCTCCGTCTTGTGTGTCCTGCATAGCTGCGCTCACAGGCCTGCACCATACTTGTTGTTGTTTTTCTGGCCAGTCCTGGGGCTTGAACTCTGGGCTTGGGCACTGTCCCTGGGCTCCTTTTTGCTCAAGGCTGGCACTCTACCCCTTGAGCCACAGCACCACTTCGGGCTTTTTCTGTGATTAATTGGAGGTAAGAATCTCATGGACTTTCCTCACCAGGCTGGCTTCGAACCGTGATCCTCAGGTCTGAGCCTCCTGGGTAGCTAGGATGACAGGCGTGAGCACTGCAATGCCAACACATTCACAGGCCAACTCCCATTCTCCTGCAGCTCCTGCCCGCCCTGGCAGGGAAGGCAACAGGGACTGACCTACTAGACTTCTGGGAGGAAGAGGGGGGCGCAGGAAGAAGTATGCAGGGCAGGAGCCATAGCTCAAGAGGCGGAGCGCCGGCCAAGAAAGTGCAAGGCCTCGAGTTCAAACCCCAGGACTAGCAAGTTTTTAGAAAAGGAATAATCACGCCGAGCAGTCACTGGGTGTGAAGGCAGCGTCCAGAGGCTGGAGAAGCTGGGGGGGGGGGGGGCGGGGACGGGCGCACTCACCGCGACTCCAGCTCGGGCTGGTACAGGCTGAGACGCCGGCAGCGGGTGCCACTCCACGCGCAGTAGGGGTCTCGGGCGAGGAGGCAGTCCCCACAGGTGGGGTAGAGGCTGCAGCTGGCCACAGGCACCTGGACCACGCCCGAGTGGGAGGAGGCGTACAGCAGCCCCTGGAGCCAGACATGGGGAGGGTGGGCACGGGCGGCTGGCGGGGCCGGCACCAGGCTCTCAGGCCCACCCCAAGGGCCTCTGCCAAGTCCCTGCCACCCCCACTTTCTGACTGCCTGGGCATGAGGCTCAATTCTGTGTGTGTGTGTGTGTGTGTGGGTTTGTGAGTTGTGGGGCTTGAACTCTGGGCCTGGGCTTTGTCCCTCAGCAATTCGGCTCAAGGCTAGTGCTCTACCACTTGAGCCACAGCACCACTTCCTGTTTTGGTGGTTTACTGGAAATGAAGAGTCTCACAGACTACCCGAGCCGGCTTTGAACCGGGATCCTCAGATCTCAGGATCCTGAGTAGCTAGGATGACAGGCGTGAGCCACCGGTGCCCAGCTTTCCCTTGCTCTACTGCTTGAACCACAGCTCTGGCTCTCTGGTGGTTTATTGGAGATAGGTCTGTCACAGACTTTCCTGCTAGGGCTGGCTCTGAACCAGAATCCTCGGACCTCAGCCGCTTCCTGAGTAGCTGGGATTGCACCCAGCTCTGTTAACCCTCCCTCTTCCTGCGGGCAGGGGAGGGGCCCTGCCGGGTGCAAACGTAGGCCCCCAGCCTGACGCGGGGCTCTTCCCAGTCCCCTCACCCTGTGGCTGTCCAGGAGCAGGTTCTGCACAGGCTGTCCTGGAGAGAAGATCTGGAGCTCCTCGATGATGTGTGTGGACGGGCCCACGCTCACCGCCTTGTGCAGACGGCCGTCACCTGGAGGGCGCGTGTACAGGCCGGGTTCTCAGACTCGGGCCATGTCCGACCTGCCATGCTCCCCCTCTGCCCTCCCCCCCC